TTACCAAGAACTGTTTTTATGAAGAGCAGCTTTTTGTCTGTTGTTGAAAAACAGCATGCTGCACATAAAAAGAAATGGTAATATGACATACATACATGCTTCTCAAAGGGCGCTACAGTGGGTTGCTAAGTAAAATGGTTTGGCACGTGGCCATGCTTTGGCAATGATTATTTGATTTACTGCATTTTGGACCCAAGTTGTGCGCAGAACAAACTTCTATCAAGAGCTTCTGTTGGTAAGGTGAGACTTTAAATGCATTTTCTGCAATAGTATGGATTCTGCATAGGTCCTTTGAGTGCAAATGAGGAGGGACTGCACATCTTAAACTGGAAGACTAACTTGGAATGATGAAACCTAATTTAACCAAACTTGAGGGCATCTTAGCTAAGCATTGCAAGATCGAGCTGTTGCTGGAACCTTAGCTCAGGCTTCCAAATTGGTCCAACATTGCTGTTTGTTTGTCTCTCTTGGTCACTCAGAATCCCCATTTTTTGTGCAAATGTCAAAGAAAACAACGCAGGCACAGCTCAAATTGGAGACCACTGAGGATGTATTAACTTGCCCGTGAGCCTGACTGCAGCGAAGCTGTGCTTGACATCATGAGACTGTGTTTTTTGTCTTTGCTGAGTTTACAAGGAGCTATTAGGAGAAAATCCTATGGTAAAGTGAGAAATAGTCATCAAACAGTTAAGAAGGAAAAAAAAACGTTCTCACTTATCCAGATAAACAAAAGTCGGTGTGTTCTCTGTGCTCTTGGCAGCATTGAGAGAGGCTTTTCCGCAAGCTTTAGTGGCATCAGGGTAGGGCTGGTTTTCTGTCAATCAGTTTTTGAGTGCTTTGAGGGGAAAAATAAGGGTTATTTTATTTTAAAGCTATGACAGATGTGTAAATATTAAAATACTAGGTGTTATCTCACCTCAGTGATTACTTTTAAAAACATTGCAGCTCTGTTGGCAGTGGAAGAAGCTTGTATAAAGACTTGGGCATTTAATATCTAGAGGGATTGGGCTCAGGGGAAGAATTGCAATGAGACAGTTGAAAAGCAGCTGCCATTTCGTTACATCTCTAGTAATGTGCCAAGGTTTTCTATTAACTTTCCACTTAAAAAAAAATTCACATTCAAAAGCTGCATTAAAAGTATGCCAAAGTTTTATGTTTTAAACCAGGAATGGAGTGGGAATACACAACTGGGGCCGCGGTCTCTGCAGCGTGCGTGCAGGCAGGTGCCTGATTAACTTTCCTGTAGTTGCATCCGACGGTGGCTGGTTGCTGAGGAGTGCCTCTTAACAGGACTTCGAATTCTTTTGTTGATTCAAATCAGACTTTAATATTCTTTGAAACTCGTAAAGATGCATATATCCTGCATTAGTGTGCATACACAATAGACGACAGCAATACGCACAGGAATGTTTCTGTAGAACGACTGTTTCTTTTTTATCCCGCACGTCTTAAACGTGTATTCATGTATTTATGAGAAGGACATTATTATCAACCAAACTGAGCTTTGTTGACAACACTCTCAAATATAAATTGGAGAAATGTTTCATAAGCCGTAGTCAAAGCAGTCTGACTATGAGACCTAACTCGTGACATGTGTCAGCTTCGGAAAGATAGTGTATTTTGTGTTTTTAAAGACTCAAACAAAACTTTTCACATTCTTCTATGAAAAAAATTGCATTTGAAGTCCTTTTTCACCCAAACACATTTTTAGATAAGAGCACACAAGTCTTGACATTATTTCATTTTGTTATGCGCATCTGTCAAGGAACAGAGATATGATACAGCTACTAAAAACTGATGATTGTGGAACAGTGAAACTTGACAGCATTTCATTTCCTTTATGTTCTGATTATACATTTATCAGGAAACCTGTATCTCTTCTAGTTGAGCTAGAAATTGGTAGAATTCAGGAACTCAAAGCCTTGGCAAAGAACTGTCCTATTATTTGGTATCATCTTACATTTTAGAGAAGTTGCTTGGTTGAGTCATTGTTAAAGCTTTTGCTTCTTCTTTCATTATTGTGGTTCACTATCCAGAGATCACATTTCTATAGGCCCTATAACTGCTCTGCAGCACAAATTAAACGCTGGGATATTTCATACATATACCTCGAAGTTTCAATGGTTGTCAATCATAGTTTGTAAAATATAGGGATTACAACCTGATATTAACATCCAAATCCATTGTGTTCGTTTTATGTGTGAAAATGAGAAACCCTTGTGCAGACGCAAGATTTCACAGCTCTTTGTCATCCTGTTTTTAATTTATCTCCATGTTTTGAGCTACTAAAATTATTTTACTTATCAGTTTAATGTAAAGTGATAAAACGTATCTATTTATCTGAATTAACAGAATGAATCTACAGGTTGTATGCGATTTTTCTCACACTTCGTTATAATGTAAAATCATGTATTAATTTTGCTAATTTTTGAATGACACACAGTTGCTGAATGCCACTGTAAAGAAGGTGAGTAGCGCGCCCATATCCAAAAAATAAATTCATGTGTGTAGTTAAACTAAATTTATTTATGGAATATAAGCTCCTCCAAATTTAAAGGTTCGGTATCGGTTGAGGAAAAGATCAAGCTCACGCACTAGCCCTTGACAAAAGAATGATGATCCGGATTATCATACACTCACCTCAATCAAGACAGGGGTTCCCTTTCTCGTCTGATTGTTCTCACTAAGGTACCTTAAAAGGGCAGGGATTCCTGTTCT